TATAATAGACCCGCCCCTCTACTAGCACCGCCCACAGCTCCACCTCTCTACTAGCCCCGCCCACAGCCCCGCCTCTATGCTAGCTCCACCCCACAGATAAAATTATTTCGTTGTGATGCTGCAGGAACAGAAACCATGAAATAATGAAATAAACATTTAACTAATTTGCATTTTAATAGTTTAATGAAATATTTACTAAATTGTTTTCTAAATGAATTATTTCAAACATTTAACTTATTTATTTCTTTCATGGTACATTTAATTCATGATGTATTTATTTATTTAAGTCCTCTTTAGCCCTCCATACCTTCGTGTCGTCAGGCAGGTAACTCAGTAACCAGTGAAATTAAACTTTCCATAAACTGTATCTGACATTTGAATGATTCTCAGCAGTTTTTGCCTGAACTTTGACCTCGTTCTCAGGCAGCAGACTCAGAGAAGTCTTGGACAGATGAAACACCTCCTCTGCAGCCAAGTGGCATTAAGGGTCCATTTTTTTACTTCTCCTTTGGAAGCTGTTGCCTCCTTTACATGATCAAACCTCGTCTGTCGCCTCTCAGTGCTGTTGCCACGGGTTTCAACGTGAGAATTAAAGTGTTATTTTGCTGGCAACAACAGAAATGTTCCACATCTTGAAGTCTTCTGGCAGCTCACGCCTCTACGCGTTCGCAGTTCAGCTTTAGCTGCAGCTGAAAGTGAATGAAAGCTTTTTTTCTCACCTTCTGTGTGTTCATGAGCTCCAAACTGCAGGGTGACCTCAGTGTCAGTGTTCACATTCCCCACCTCTCTGGTCCCTTTGTGTCCCACCTCCTTCTCTCCTTTCAGCCGCCTGCAGCAAACAGAACATGACTCAGTGCCGTGGGCTTTATTATTACTGCAATTTGAAGGTTTTGAAATCTTTTCAGATGACAAGGATCCATGAATCATGTTGTGTGCTCTGTGGCTATTACAGCTCTTACAGAGATTTGGGCACCAGGAGCGTTACGGCACAGTGTGTAGCTACGGTTCTGTTTTCAATGATCTCTTCAAACTCTGAGTGCAGCTGGTTGGGACTGGCTATTACCACCTGGAGACGAGACAAACAGACAGAATGAGTCAGGAGTTAGGCTCTGCAGCCTAAATAGTTTCAATGAAAAGACAGTTTGTCTGAATTTGTTGGAATTTGTGAATTAGCTAGTCCATAGTTAGCTAAAATGCTGTCGGACAGCAGCATGTAGAGCACCAGTAATGTAAACGGCACAATGTAAGCTAACCTAGCTACAATGCTATCAACAGCATGCAGAGCATCACTGACTTATTCCACTCAATATGTTTAGCTTGTACATAAAAACAAGCTAAAATGCTGATTATACCTAGAATGCTATGATTAGCATTTGGTTTATCACTACTAGCATGTAGCCATCCAACAACATACTTCATGGAAACAGCGATGTATAAGATAAAATTAGCTAAAACACTAAGGCTAGCTAACATACTGTCAATGAGGCCACACAGTTTCTTACTTTCCCTCCAGTTCGATCTGCCAGTCTTCCCAGTTCATCCAGCCGGCAGTCCGTACCTTCTATGGACAGCACGGACACGGTCACCCTGAGGGAGCAACGATAATCCATCAGCGGACATGAACTACGCTACTGCAGGTGTTATTGGTACCAACCAGCCATGAGACACCAGGTCCATGCCTACTGGCTGTTTCTGAGGAAACCAGGGAACAAAATGTCTTTTTCTACCATATCAAACGTAAATGACTGGAGTTTACTTAAAGCTACTTGTAAAATTGAGCCTTCAGACAAATAACAGGCAGATTTGGCATGATTCTCACCTTACAGCTTAGCATGTTTTAAACTGGAACATACCAATCTAATATGATGAAAAGCTGAAAATGCCTATTTACTTTATACTGTCACTATAATTACCGTATTTTCCGCACTATAAGGTGCACCAGATTATAAGGCGCACAGAATAGATGCTACAGTAGAGGCTGGAGTTACGTTATGCATCCACTAGATGGAGCTGCACTAAAGTGAATGTCAACAAAACAGTCCAACTCCGGTCAGCGAGGAGAGCCTTCCGCCACTGGGCCGGGGCCGGACGCTGGTCACCCTTCTCTGTTCGAGCACAGCATGTTGGTGGAGAACGTGGTGCTAAATGACCTGCAGACGACCTGATTCTAGACGGTTGGTAGGTAGATAGGTCAGTCAAACTTTATTAACAAACCAGCGTTCAGACACTATCCTAGCATGCACCGCGCGCTTCTTCTTCTACGGGCGAAAATGAAGTCAGTGGCTGCTTACCGTAGTTGCTAGACCTGTTGTGGCTCAATATTGGTCCATATATAAGGACCGGATTATAAGGCTTTTGAGGAAATTGAAGGTTTTTAGGTGCGCCTTATAGTGTGGAAAATATGGTACATTAATTTTGGACTTTTGGTTTTTGAAATTGTAAAAGAAAAACAAATTAAACTAGAAGTTAATCTGTGCATTAGAAAATTCAACTTCAGATGCAGGTGTGGTGGACGGGTTTAATTTGGTCCTGGGTTTGAATCCTGCCTGGTTGCATGTTCCTCCAGTGAATGATTGTCTTGATTTGTATTAAGAGATCATTATTAGATATTGATTTCTGTGAGTTTCCAGGCAGCGTCACCCACCCCTGGGTGGCGGCGCACTCCCCCAGCTTCTGGTAGAAGATGGTGGACGAGAGCAGAGCGCGAGCGTCGTCGTCCTCGTCTTCCAGATTCCCTAGTTTTGCGTTGGCTTTTCCATCTGTACAGATAATCACCTTCAAGATCAGCAGGGATAACAAATCAATATTTTATACTTAGAGAAAAATAAACAGCACTGAGATAAATCTGACAATATTTGTTGGAAATAGATTTTTTTCATGAATCTGTTTTGAGACATTGAGATCAGATTCCATGGAGATTAGCTTTATACGTAAAAAACACAAATAATTTCTCCTTATTAGCCTTTTTTGAATGTTTTTATTTTATTATTTTATGTTATAGAAAGTCATGCCATAAACAATAACAACCTTTCTACTCAGAAATGCACTCATTCATTACATTTAGCTGAACACAGCAAAAGTTTTAGACAGAAAATCTGATTTATTTTTGTTGCTGGAAATGAACTAAAAACATTTTAAATACCAGTGAAATAAAAAATAATTGGGCAAATTAACTGCTGTAAACATTAAGATAGAAGTTATACTAATGTTTTGTTTAATTAAAATATTCATTATTTAATTTATTCTTGTGGAGGTAAAGCAGAAAAAAAGTCACAATATTGTTTTATGTATTTTTAATAGGAGAAAAAAACAACTTTTACCTTTTAGATTTTATTTCCTGGTGTAAAAAGTTTGTTTTTTACTGGTTTATGGCGTCTGTTAATTGAATTAGAGACCAAAAAATAATTTTGTTTTTGTCTGCGGTTTTACTGCAGGAGGGACTGGTGCGCTTCACAAAATAGGTTACATCATCAGAAATGAGCATTAAGCGAAAATCTCAAAAATCCAGCCAGGAAATTAAAGTTTGGACATAAATTGGTTCCTAAATTTGTCCAACATAACATAAAGCCAAAGTGGCTTAAGGACACAGCGTCCATGTTTTGGAGCTGCTGAAACTAAATCTGAGCTCAGACTGCAAACCCGACCCGTTTAAACCAAAATATCAGCAAACTGTGAGGAACCGGCGAAAGGTAAATTCATTAACGTCGAAATATGAAGGAAGTTGGAAATCATTCTGGTATTTAGCAAACAGAAACAGTTGTCAGGTAAATGACTTAAACAGGAAGTGACCCGCCTCACCTTTGACCCCGGCAGCCTGGAGGCCATTGAAACAGCGACCAGAGCAGCTGGACCCAGAGCCGTTTCTCCATTTGCTGATAATCTAAAGAGACAATAAAAACCAAAATACATAAACATGGATGAACATCTGCTGTAAACGAACCTGCAGCTGGTGCTCACCCTGAAATGTGTCTCTCTAAGTAATCTTTAGTCTGTGACAGTGGAAGCGGCACGGGCAGACCGGCCGCAGCGCCCATCAGGAAGTGCTTGTCGTTCAGCTCGGCGCCGCTGAGATGATGCAACTGGAAGTTGTTGCATTCGTACACAGTGACCTAAAGAGACCGAAGGGAGACGAATAACACGGGGCGTCGATTTAAAGTTACACAGACAAAATGAACGCCAACAATCTGAGTTATTTAGCCTTTAGCAAGCTAAAAAGACACTTAGCTAGCTAGATATTAAGCTCCATGCTAATGTTTTAGCTTGAAGCTAATTATTTAGTTTTACTAACTCTTAAATATTTAACTGGCTAATTAAAAAGTGAGATCATAAATATTCAGCTTGATAACTAAACAGATAATTGGGAGCTAAATATTCAGCTTCCTAATTAAATATATAGTTTGTTATAGTTTGTTAACATTTATATTTATCTAATTAATATTTGTCTAATACTAATTAGCCAAATATTTAGTTGGCTAATTAAATAGTTTGTTGCTAAATATTTAGCCTTCTAATTCATTTTTATATAGCTCTAAACTAAATATTTAGCTTGAAGCTGTCACATTTATAAATGTATGAATAACATGTTCAACGTATAACTTTGCAAAATGAACTCTAAAAAAACATCAACTTTTTATTTTATTTTTGACTATAAATTTACAAATGGCACCGTGTAAAATAAATGTTGTCAGTAATAATATGTGATTTATCCATCCACACTATTAAGATAAAAGTACCTGGAAGTTGAAAGTGATGAGTCCAACTCGAACCTCGGGCCGCTGGTCGCTCAGCTTCCGAACACACTGCAGCACAGCTTCTTGGACAAACTGCAGAAATTCACAATGAAAACAGTTTATAACTTTTCTGGATTTTTTTTAGTTGGAAACTAGAAGACAACTCACCTCGAGTCTGGTTCTGTGGATGTTCTGGCCCGGATCTGACACCTTAAATAAAGCAGAGACGCTGTTTATTTCTGAAAGCGGCAGAGAGCGAAGCGTCGCTCCGGGTTTCCCACCTTGGAGGTGATGCTCATGGAGCCGGACGTGTCGATGCAGAACAGCAGCAGCGAGTCGGCGGTGGACTGCGGCTGCTGTCCAGGGTTCAGCAGAAACAAATCATCCTTCTGCACACTTACAGGACATCTGGACGGTCTAGTTAAATCATCACTCTGACAAAAGTAGCACACTTTAACCTGCAGGGAAAACAGGAAGGTCCATTTAATCTGATTCCAAAAATACTGTCTCCATGTATTTATAGGCCACACTGCAAAAATACTAAATATTACCAAATATTTTGGTCTAGATTCTGCTGCAAATGTCTTAGAAACTTTTCATACAGATGCAGCAGCTTGTTTTAGATGAACCACTCCTTATTATTGATGGAACCGTTCTAGTTCCACTGGCAGGTTATTTTATTCATAACATATTTTCCCATGTTATTAGTCAAATAATCTGCCAGTGGAAGTAGAACTTCTTCTATATATTAAGAAGTTATTTACTAACAACAAGCTGCTATATCTGGCTGAAAAATTACCTGTAAGTTAGTTTTATTGTCTTATATCAATATATTTGCATTTGAAACTACCAAAAAGACTTGGTAAGATTTTGTGTTTTTGCAGTGTGGCGTGTTCAAGGTAATTTATGGAGTTAGCTTCTGCATTTTGGCAGCACTGACATGATTTTAGTCAAAAATATTGCAGAATTAAACAAATTTACAAGAAAATGTGTCACAATTTGCACAGAAACATATAAATAACATCCTTAAAAACCAATTTATGGAGTTTATCGGCAAAAGGTTAATTTGTAGGTCATTTACTGCAAAATATTTAAAATGTGATGTGAATACCTGCTTTTTGCCCTCGCTGTCCAGAACCGACCCACACTCTGAACACATTATGGGCTTCCCAGGACTGGGAACCTCTGGGAAAAACAGGGAACATCATCAGAGAAAAAAAATCAACCCAGATGAGTTACGCTGATAAAACTGACCAACCTCTTTCCTCTGACAGTAACTTCCCTAAACTGATAAGAACAATATTGGGATTTCCAGGCAGAGGGCCCTTATCTGTTCCAGAAGACAGGAAAAACATTAGTGAAGGGTCGGTTCGGGAACGTTCTTCGAAGTGAACGACGGGAGCAGATCAGCATTGTCAGATCTCTGTATACGCTGTCATTAGCACATGCTTTAATTTAATCAGCAACATTTTCATGACGTGGATCGTCATGAACTTTGTTATTAACAGCCGTATGACATCTTGACTTAGCGGTTAGCTAGTCCGTCACCAACAGGGAAGCGAGTTTTATACGGGATGTTTTTTGTATTTGACTGCAGCTAAAGCTAACCCTGCTTTAAATACACGTTGAAACCACGACAATGCATGTATATCATCTACAGGTGCTGGTCATAAAATTAGAATATTGTGATAAAGTTCATTATTTTCCATAATGTCATGATAAAAATTAAA